GAGAGAGAGAGAGAGAGATCTACTGATAGACTGATGGCAGGTTCCAGGTCATTTGCTGCTGTGTTATTCAGAAGGCATTCCAGAGGGCACCCCTGGGGTTGTATAGAAATTCTGACTTTTTGTTTCTAAAAACTGTGAAAAAATCAGCATTTTCCAAAAAATGTCATAATTCTGGGATTTCTTTTTAAAGTCATGACCAAAAACATCTATTCCGTGGCCCTAATCCTTGTCTTACTTTTAGAATGGTTCAAAAGCATGAAAATAGCAGTTTATAGTCCATTAAAGGTTCTCAACACAGGGCATAGAGAATCACAAACCTGAATACTCAAAGTTAAACATCTAACACATTGTAGATTTTAAAACATAAGCACAAAAAGTAAATTCTGAACTATAATAAACCTAAGATCAATAAAATATTTGCTAATAACAGGTATTTATTTGAAAAGGCATTAAAGGTGCGATTTCTTTCCGGTGATCATGTGCTCTCAGTCAGTTTGTAAGTCAGTGCCAGTTGGAACAAAGCACACCACCACACTCACACATGCACATAAATACCACCAATCATGAGCGGACAGACAGCCTTCATCCCCTACTCTGACAAAAATGGGCTCAGTTCTGCACACATTCAACCACCAACGAAAGAGGATCCCCCAAAATTATCACTCTGAGAGAGCCTGAAGAAACCAGTGACTTCATGCAGTTATACTGATTTACTCACGTTCAACCCTCTCAACTCCCACCGCAGCCCAGAAGACCTCCCTCTCCCGCTTCCCCATCCCCCTCTGTGTGTGTTAGCATCTTACATCCGTCCTCTATCTCATTTGTCTCTGAGGCCCTACAGACACTCACACATTTACCAGCCAAACTCAGCACCAGAGCTGTAAGGATAATACACTGTGCTATCAGTGACAGATAAGAGAGGTCAGACACAGATTCATTCCAAACGATTCCATAAACACAGTTGAACAGTCTCCATATTCTTGTCTGCAATGACTAGCTCACAGTTGACGGTTCTTGGAGATTCAGCATGGAGGATCTCCAAAACCAGACTATAAACAAGCTGTAAACTCTCATGACAACATCAAGATACAGATTATCCCCTGAAGCAAGAAATGACAAGAACTGTATAGCAGAAAGGCAGCAGAAAATTACTTACACCACACACAAAAAAATCTCAAAATCTATAAAATAAATTCAGAATTCAGATTGAAATGCCAAGGCAAACAACAGAACGAATGTTACTTTGGGTGTTTGGGCAAATGGATTTTATGGATTTAAGAGATTCCCGGGCATGGTGCTGATTGATCCGTTCCTGTCTGTGTATGTATACTTTTGTGCATGTCTAAAGCATGTGGTTAATTAATTACAGTCTTGACATGTCCAGATTAGCTCTTGGGAGGGGAACTGATAAAGGAAGAAGATCATTAATCTCATCCTTCCGCACAGACATAAGGTCTAAACACAATATCCAGTGCTTAATGTAGTTTTCTTCACTAAAGATCTGAGGTGGAAAATACATGTAGGAGCATTTAAATCCTTGAATAGTTTCCTCATTTCAGTAAAAAACTTTTTCCGAAATTATTTTATTGTTTCACTTTCCTTTCAAAGTAAAAATTATAAGTCTAACAAATTATCCCCCTGTTACCCATATTTATTCACCATAACCACGATCATCGCAGATGATAATCATATTTCTGCAACTACAGCAGAACCCCTTTTAGTGTCCCTCATCCTGAAACTGGGGTCCAACATGATGGGCAGGAGTGCAGCTGATAAATTAGCAAACATCACCCCCTGGTGGCAGGCAAAAACTAAACCATGAGTATTGGTTTCTTGGGGACTCACCACAGGTGTAGATGACGCTGAGGTACTTCCTGGTGCCAGCGTAACACGGATCTCCAAACTCTCTCGTGGAAGCTCGGATGAGACAGGTTTTCTTTCCCTGGCAGCGGTTGGTCAAAACCTGCAGAGCCACGGATGACTGGCACTCTGGAATAAAGACAGAGATGGGGAAACATATGTAATACTCTGTTGTAAAACCCACATCTCAGTAATGTCTATTCCACTGGATCATCAACTTTAGTCTACAGAAAAATTCCACTAGCATTGTAAAATGTGGATTTCTGTTAAAAATACAGGCAAACGCATTTTTAAAAAAATGAAGATTTCTGTTAACATATTTTCTATATAAATGGACTGAAAGTCCAAACTACCCAATAACTATTATAAATTTACATTTCTTATGCTCTGTGTTCTTAGATGGCATGACACTCACAAAGACACACACATACACACACATCTCAGATCCCATGATGGAGTTTGTGTCCACATCAGACCCACATAGAGAACCTTCCGCAGGCCTTACATTGTCTAAAGGATATCTGATCCAATACATGTGGGTGTGTGAGTGTTTGTGTATGGAGACCAGTCAAAGTAATGGATACGCCTCTCATACATCATCGCTAAGCACCAGCCAACTCCTCTCCTCGTTTTTTTGGCTTTGATTTCATTCCTTTATTCCATAATTGTAACACAGCTGCAGAAGATGACATGGCACTTCTAAGCCAATAATCTGCAAATGAGTTAAACAGCAAAGGAAATATAAAAGTACTCAAAGGTGCAGTCCCAGTGGAATTCCCATTCTACATATCTCCACATGACTCCAGTGACACTAAGGATAAAGGTGTGAGAAGCACTAATCAACTCCTGTTGTGGTCTTGTGGGAATGTGGAGGGCCCTTGGTTCCACATGGATGCTTCCCGGGCCCCCCACGGGCCATCTAACCCCTAAAAACAACACAAGGAAATGAGCCTTTGAAAATGGACACTCGGCTGTCTTGGTGGCCCACGCAGAAGGAGAAGTGCAGAAAAAAGCTATCGAGGGCATGCTGGCTAAGACTTGGTTCAAGTGTCACCAAGCCTCAACAAATTATGGCCAAAGGTTAAATGTCATAGCCTGGAAGTGTTTGAGGGTAATCTAGCGGTCATGCATAATATCAAAATTGGGAATTCCTTGGATGGCCTGTAACCGTGCAGGCCTGTCTTATAATCAGGAGACTTATTTTACGGTTTATGTTATATAACTAAATTGCGGGGAAATCTGTTCCATAAATCTTGTGTGGTTACAGGTCACAGCATATGCAAAGCATTAAGCTTCTCAATGAAGTAAGCCTATATCACTGTTGGTTCAACTGGACACAGATCAAACGGGTACACCCCCAGCTGGAGCTGACATAGTGGAATTCCCAACCAGGATGTAGTGAGGTGAAAGCCTGTGGGAACCAGTGAGAGTAACTGGATATGAAGGACCATAACTCAAAGGTGGAATAATTCCTGCTGTCACTTAAAACATGTGGAGTAATGTAAAAAAAAAAGTCAATTGAAATCCGCCAACAAGCCTAAAACTAAAAGAAAAAACTGGGTTCCAAATTGGTTAACAATTTTTTTTTAAATTACGAAAATGGCAACTCAACTTTGTTTTGATTTAGTAAATTACTAATTTTCTTACCTTACCGTTAAATTTGCAGTGCCAGACTTTACATGTTGAGCTGCATCCTGAGGACAGGACAGAAGTAGGACTATGGTACAAGTCATTAAGTACATTTGTAGGTACATCTAAGTACAACCGCACAACAGATGAAAAAAGTTGCACGGTCACACGAGCCTTGATTTCTACTGCAGCATTCAGAATGTGCTTAATCTGTGTGTCAGAATTCACCCTGGCTCGTATCTAAGGTTCAGCCAGCTGATGGTGGCATAATGGTGTGAGGGATATTTTCTTGGCACATTTTGGACACCCTAGTACTAGTTGAGCATCGTTTCAATGCCACACCCTTCCTGAGTATTGTTGCTGACTATATCCATCCCTTTTATGACCGCACAGTAACCATCTTAATATGGCTAGTTCCAGCAGAATAACTCACCATGTCTCAAAGCTTAGATCATCTCAAACTGGTTTCTTGAACATGTACTCAGTTGGCCTCCTCAATCCCCACTTCTCAATCAAAAAGGGACGTGGTGAAATGAGAGATTTGCATCATAGAACAAATCTGCAGCAACTGTGTGATGCTATCATGTTAATATGGAACAGAATCTCAGAGGAATCTATGCCGAAATAACACAGGTCTGAAAGCAAAAGGGGGTTCAACCCACTATTACCAAGGTGTACATAATAAAGTGGTGAGGAGGCGTTTAATGTGAAAGTTTATTATCCATATTAGCAGTTTATTATCTGTTTATGTAAGACAAACTGATAAGCAGTCTGTGTCTATGACAGAGATCAATGTTGTAACTATTGGCTTTTATTTCCTTTATTAATCACATTATATTTTTCTACAATATGTACATTTGTACTAGTTGATTTTATGATCACTGTTTATAGCAATATATAAATATATTACAGCCGTTACAAAATTACATAATTTCCTTAGGGCTTAATAAAGTATTCTGATTCTGATTCAGTTCAATAACCTCCTGCTCTGACGAATGTGCCTCAATTTTCTCTGCCGCTCTTTTTTCCTGTCCGGAGGGCCTGACAAGCCAAGTCCACTGACAGACAGACCCCCATTAGCTGCACCTTAGATTCGCTGACTGGGTGATTAGCTGAGCACAGAGCCCACAGAAAATGGGGTGGGACTTAGAGGTTCAGGAGCTGATAGAGAGGATGGAGACACACATGTATTCTTTGTTCACCAGCTCAGCCACACACAGAATTTCTATGTAGTTTAAAAGAACACTCCCAAGGGCCTGACCTCCTCTGGCTCTCATTAGTGGTCTTAACACAGAGAGACAAGCATACAAAAGTTCCCCTCTCTCTCTCTCACACACACACATACACACGGCATGAATAACCCCTGTTACCTCTAACCTTTACTCTCTCCAATTTTCCAAGCTTGGGCCACCACCCCTCTATCCTCCACACACCCAACAAGGACAGGACTATAGCTCAGAAGAGTAGGCCCATAGTCAAGAG